TGGAGTGCAGAGGTGTGATCTCAGCTCACTGCTGTCTTGACCTCCCAGGCTCAAGTGATCCTCTTGCCTCAGCCTCCCAAAGTGCTGGGAATATAGGTGAGAGCCACCATGCTGTGCACAGCTTGAAATGAAGTTCTAATTTAATCTACCATGCCCTGGCCCCAGGTATTGACAGTGCTTACCCGCTCTCCCTCTTGATACTAAACCCACAGCATTTTTGTTTTCTGAGACAGCTTCTTGCTCTTGTTACTCAGGCACGATCTTGGCTTACTGCAACCTCCATCTCCCAGATTCAGGTGATTCTCCTGCCTCAGCTTCCCTACTTGGGATTGCAGGTGCCTGACACCTGTAATTTTTGTAATTTAAGCCCGGCTATTTTTTGTATTTTGAGTAGAGATGGGGTTTCACCATGTTGGGCAGGTTGGTCTCAAACTCCTGACCTCAAGTGATCTGCCCACCTCAGCCTCCCAACATACTGGGATTACAGATGTGAGCCGCCACGCCTCACCTGTTTTCTCCTCTCACACATAATTTCAGAGATCTTTCCAAGGTAAAACCTAATTCTAGCTAATCCTTTAAAATACCTGCAATTATGTGACAGTGATGATCTAGTCATCAATTGCCTGCACTGCTGGTGTTTTCCCATAAACTTTTCTGTCACTCAGGCTGCAGTGCAGTGGCATGATCATAGCTGACTGTGGCCTTGAGCTCCTGGGCTCAAGTGGCCCTCCCACCGCAGCCTGCAGAGTAGCAGGCACACACCATCACTCCCACCTTTTTTTTCTTTTTCTTTTTTTTTTTTTTTTTGGCAGAGATGGTCTTACCATATTCCCCAGGCTGGCCTCAAATGATCCACTGGCGTTGGCCTCCCAGAGTGCTGGGATTACAGGTGTGAGCCACTGTGCCTGGCCCCATGAACTTGATTTTGATTGCCTTTGTGGTATTTCTTGAGTTCATTTCCAGTGTAAATTCCTGCTTGAGATAGCCAGGAAAAAGATGATCCACTGTGTGTGTGTGTGTGTGTGTGTGTTTGCTATTTTCCATAACACAGTGTGTAGTTGTGTGTCCACCACCGGCTACTTTCTGACCGGGGTGAACTCCCTCAGTGTCGAGACTGAACCAAGAGAATCCACTTATCTAGAGTGGATATCCACCATTCTTCTCAGCCTTAATCTTTGAAGTCAATTCTTTTTTTTTGAGGCAGAGTCTTGCTCTGTTGCCCAGGCTGGAGTGCAGTGGGGTGATCTCGGCTCACTGCAACCTCCACCTCCCTGATTCAAGCAATTCTCCTGCCTCAGCCTCCCAAGTAGCTGCGACTATAGGCGTGTGCCACTGCGCCCGGCTAATTTTTTATATTTTTAGTAGAGATGAGGTTTCACCTCATTAGCCAGAATGATCTCAATCTCCTGACCTTGTGATCCGCCCGCCTCGGCCTCCCAAAGTGTTGGGATTACAAGTGTGAGCCACTGTGCCCAGCTGAAGTCAATTCTAAAGGGTAGATTGTGATTGCACCTCTGCAGGTAGATGCTGCCTGCACAGTGTGGTCATCACTTCATTTTGTCAGTTACCATATATACAACAATGGTCCCATGAAATTATAATACCAGTTTTTACTGCACCTTTTCTGTGTTTGAATATGTTTATAGGCCAGGCGCAGTGGCTCACGCATGTAATCCCAGCACTTTGGGAAACTGAGGCGGATGGATCACCTGAGGTCAGGAGTCTGAGACCAGACTGACTAACATGGTGAAACAGAGTCTCCACTAAAATAAAAAATTCGCCAGGCGTGATGATGCGCACCTGTAATCCCAGCTACTCAGGAGGGAATCACTTGAACCCAGGAGGCAGAGGTTGCAGTGAGCCAAGATCGTGCCACTGCACTCCAGCCCGCGGGACAGAGTGAGGCTGCATCTCAAAAAAAAAAACAAAAAAACAAAACAGGCTGGGCTCGGTGGCTCACGTCTATAATACCAGCACTTAGGGAGGCCGAGGTTGGGTGGATCATGAGGTCAGGAGTTCGAGACCAGCAGGGCCAATATGGTGAAATCCTGTGTCTACTAAAAATGCAAAAATTA